CTACTACTACTACTGCTACTGCTATTGCTACAGCAGCTTTTGCTACTGCTGCTGCTGCTACTACTGCTACTTCTACTGCTACTGCTACTGCTATTGCTACAGCAGTTATTGCTACTGCTACTGCTACTGCTACTGCTGCTGCTGCTATTGCTATTGCTACTGCTACTGCTGCTGCTATACCTATTGCTACTGTTTCTGCTACTACTGCATGCTATAGCCACTGCTGCTGCTACCGCTACTGCTTTTGCTGCTACTGCGACTACTTTTGCTTCTGCTGCTACTGCTACAGCTGCTTGTTCTAGCGCTACTGCTATTGCCACTGCTTCTACTGCTACTGCTACTGCTACTGCAACTACTTCTGCTTCTGCTCCCGCTTCTTCGTCTGCTACTACTTCTGGTGACGTTAGAATATGGGTGCGTTTCATAATAGGTTACTTATTGGCATAGGGGTGTTTAAAAAAACTTTTTTTCCCTTTGTTTGGCAAAGACCTTATTTTTAGACGGTGCCCGGAAAAATTTTGCACCTTGTTTTCTTTTAATGGTACGTGGCAATAAAAACAATTACCAAGTCTTTACATGAATGAACTGGAATTAACACAAAGTGGTTATTTGTTTAAATTGCAGGAATTTGTCGAGTGATTTTAATGTGGCTTTTTCCGTTTACGGATAAAATTTCTTTTTCTTCCAAATTTACCGGCATCATCAATTGCTTCTTCATTCAGCAGCTCCTCTGTTGGATCTATCGCAGTATCCTTTAAACTATCAAGCCCTAGTTCACTCGGTGGCTCAGTTAAAATACTGCGGCTCCTACTTTCGTCTTCGTCGGGTTCTTGTGCAGTTTTTTCATCAAGGTCGTCCATATCAACAACTGAGTTTTTATTCAACTTCTCCTTGTCATCAATAATTTCATTTGTAATCTGGACAGTGGGGTTTTGGGTTGGGCTAATCTTGTTCTCTTCGTTTATCAGGGCGTCAATTTCAACGCCTGGTTCTTTGTCATTATTTGTGATGCTTACGTTGTTCTCTTCATTGTAACTACTTTCATTCATGGCGGTTCTTGTGTCATTTTCCAACCCATTATGTAACTCTCCTTCATCGTGAGAGTTGCTCGGTTCTTGGTCATCATCATTAATGAGATTATGTGAAGTTGTCGTCGATTGGTTTCTTCCTTGGTCGTATCTGTCGTTGTCTTTCTCATCATAACTCGACAGTTCGGTTTCGTTTGACGTGGCGCTGTTATAGTCTTCATTTGATCCAATGGAATCGTTCAAAAGTTTGTCGAGTTGGTTGTGTTCTTCGGGGCGACGCTTTTTCTTTAGACGAATCTGAAGACTTTTTATCTTTTTCTTAAGGGCTATAATAATATTCTCTGCATCTTTTATGTCATGTGCTTGTGCCGTGTCTTGGGATGTTATCATTTTGTCATCTAAAACACTAGTCTCGTCTTTAGGTCGTTTTCGTTCTTCGTCAAAGAGATTATCTGCAATAACGTTTTTCTCATTTTCTACATTACTTGCTTGTGTGATGTTGTAGGTGTCGTCATGGGATGTTATCACTTTGTCGTCTAAAACATTAGGCTTGTGTTCAGGCCATTTTTTTCCTTCGTCAGTGATATCATTTGCAATAGCATTCTCCGCATCTTCTTCATTATGTGCTTGTGTGGTGTTGTCCTGGGATGTTATCGCTTTGTCATCTAAAGCATTAGTCTTGTGTTTAGGCCGTTTCCTTTCTTCGTCGATGAGATCATCTGAAATACCATTTTCCGCATTTTCTACATTACTTGCTTGTGTGATGCTGTCAGTGTTGTCTTGGGATGTTATCACTTTGTCATCTAAAACATCAGGTTTGTGTTTAGACCGTTTTCTTTCTTCGTCAGTAAGATCACCGTTTAGCTTTGCAGATTTTTCTTTGGACTTAGCTGTCAGCGCATTGGTCTTCCATTTCCTTTTACCATCCCTGCTTTCGCAGCATTCGTCATTGCACTGCATATAACAATCCAGTGTAGGATGCTGACTGCATGACATCGGACACCCTGACGGGTAAGAATCACCGGTGGTTGTTACTGTCTGCACGCCCCCTGGGTAGTAGACAGAGTAAGCTGGAGTGGCGTACGGCGGAGGAGAAGGTGCAGGGTATGTTGGGTAATAACCATAAGAGGGCTGGTGGAGCGAGGCACTGCATTTGCTCTGATGGCCACATGTACTGTAGCAGTAGTTTCCAGCTCTCCCTTAAGAAAGTAAAAAGACACAATTTTTTACCACTTAACCACCAAATCTGAAAGGGATTCACAATTACATTCTGTTTTCCAAAATGTTCAAGAGAAACTTTACCAGTGACGTATAGCTAAAAACTTTAATTCACATTTAATTGGACTTATTCTACTTAGCTTTGTAAAACTTAATTGATCAGCAATCACATAAAGCAGCTACTTTGTGTTCTTACCTGTCCTTCCTACGACCTTATCTGCAGGATGAAACAATAAAGAAGGAATTTCATTCAGCTTTAAACTTTATACTGACAGGCTTTTTTTACTGAGAAGGGCAGGTTTGTTCTTGTTTTAAAAAGGTGTAGTTCCCTTTTTTTACTGCTAATACAATTTAGATTGCTTTAATAGCCTCCCAGATGCTATTGTATTTCTACATTTAGTTCAAAATCGAATAATATCAATAAATTTATTTGATGCGATTTTACTATATTTTGAAGTTTCCGAGTGAGAAACAAAATTACTAAATCGCTTTTGCCGAGGAAGCTCGTAACTGTTAAAGTGCCACTATGACGAAATTCTCGATATCCCTTTCTTTACATTTTCGTACACATTAGGTCTTTCCTAGATATCTGCCCAAATTTCAATTTTCAACGAACATTAAAACTCGTGGTTTTTGGACCTTAATTTCCGAGAATTTACGGCCGCCATTAATTTTCCTTGTTCCAAGTCTTGGTTGAAAATTTGAGA